ATATGATTTTTTTGCACCTGTACAATGTCGCACGCCTAGACTGGAATTTATTGCGTACCTCCGCGGTAGATTTTCTGATGGTTACATGTCTGCTTTATTTCCCGGATATCAACAATTATTTAGTACATAAATAGTATTGACTTCAAGCCCGTATGGAACGAGAATGAAATATTCCGCATTTTATATACAGCTGTGTACCAACCACAGCCAGTATTTATGCTATCCCTAATTTACATTCGCGGTCTGATCCCTCAGTGCAGCGCCGCGTGCAGTGTATGCAAAGAAAAGCCTACGAACTCGAAGACCGCATGCGGACCTATCTAGGCGAGCTCTTAGCAAGACTGTCACACAGTAACAAGGAGATAACAATCAGCCAGTTACTGACTACGCTTGAAGACGTTCCTGACAGCAGCGCTCTACGAACATGTCTGAGGTATGAAGACAATGGTAAACTTTATTACCTGTGTTCCGGGTGTGTTGTGATGTGCTGGATTTGTTCACGATTTTGGTCCCAACTTATAGATATGATCGGTGTAAAATTCAGACAAGACTGTAGATATACATTCTTCATTGGCTTGCTTATAGGTGCTGTGTTGTGTCAAATATAAGACCGGGCTGCCTTTCGTGCTCCCGCAATTTACTCATGTGATATTCTCTGTTTGCAAGCCGAGTGCGAGGTTGCAATCACGTTTGAATTTAAACTACAACGTAATCACATGCGCTAGAACCGATTGTGGCTGTTTACCTTACAACCTGTTGAACCTGTACGAGATATACTATGCATTACATTATATATTTGCACCGTTTCCTGTGATGTACCTGCCTCAGACACTCTTTGAGTGTAGCGGGGTCTATTCTTGGCCCGCTTCGTACATGTGTATAGGTCAACAACCTACGTGAATCTTTCCAAGCATATATGCGATCAGTATCCAACCTTCGAATTTCCTCGCAGAATCCCTCGCGTACTTCTGAACGCTCCACTACGATACAATAGCCCATTTCATTCGTGATTGGGCTGTCCCTAAACTTTACACCTTTCAAATACAGCGCTATACAGCCACGCATGAAGTTGATTGACCAGAGGAAAGGAGCGGACAGAACAGTAAAGGTTCGTGAGTCCGGCGTGTTGTATGTTGAACTGCGTAACTAGCCTGTCTCATATATTCTGTACCCGCTATAACGGATCCTGTCCCAACATAGCTATTCGACGCCATGTGTACTGGTCTCAGACTCTTACTTCGCCAACTTGCTTGTTCGTTGGCGTACCCAAACGATGCAAACGAACTTGTAATAAACACCACTGGGCTCGGCTCATGTCTCAGAATAAGGTTTCATGTATGTGCTTGTCGTTCTTCTCGTTAAGAAAGTAACATTCTAATGACACAGTCTTTTACTGTTCTATTGTTTTGTTTAGGATGAACCCGAAATCAGGAGGCGGACATCTGGTAGAGTCTCGAAACGTATAAGTGGATTACAGCCACAAAATGGTACGTCTAAATTGGCCACTTCTGGTCATTTCTGTTGATATTGGGTAACCACATAATACATAAGCCGCATATATATAGACCCAGCCATATAACACTGTCATACGGAACCAGCCATATACATGATGCATAGTTAATAAGCCATGGGGAAGCTTGTGGCATTTCTCCTTCTGAGATCACTCGTGATGATAGTCTACGTATTCTTCCGCATCATCAGTAATTACAAGCTCGCTCTATAGATCATGACTGGTATATATCGAAATCCCACTGACACATATCATTTATGAACGCCGCTATCGCGTATGTATATAGCACCCAGATCCAACACGAGACGGATAGGCAGTCACCGAGTAAGTGGGATAGTACCGTCGTCAGCCAAATACGCCACTGACAGTACCACGCGGAGAAGGCCGTCAATAGCTATTCACGTATGTTGTCTCTACACTGCGCATACGCTGTATAAGGATCATGTGGTATGATTGATGTATCAGTATTCTTTTGGGCTGCCATACTGAGACATGGCCCTCACTATTCAACCTTCTCTGCGCGCACCTTAGGTGGTTTATAGGTTTCTGTATGTGCTTAACTGTCTGGTCAGTATCAGTGTATTGTGACAGATGAATAGCGTGCTTTTTGTATACTATGTTAAGCCTTCTTTGTATATATCCATTGACTTGTTTGCTATAGATGCGGATGGTGGGTAAATATATCGCAAGACAACAAATTTGTATCCGTGTGATGGTATATGGCCTCAAACTTGTGCTTACTGGTAGACACCCAGACGCAGAAACCTATGTCACGTCTATTATTGTATGGGGCTGTATATCCTGTTCAGGAAGTGCATTTTGTAGATCTCATACTCATGTGAACTATTCGTGTCTCGCCACTGCAGACTTCTAGCCATGACGAAGTAGACCCGTCAGGCACAGGCAGGAAACGAGTGCGCAATAAGAAGCGAGAGACTATACACGTTAGCATGGAGCTCGAAGACGGTAACGTATGTACAGAGGCCATATACATATGAGTGTGGATATTGCAGACGAGTTATTGTGGTGTAACTGAGCGCTTAAATGAGCTGGCATAACTGTGAATGATGCGAAGTTGACAGTTGTGAAGGCAAGTCTGTACTGTCAAATAGAGATCAGATATATCTTCAAGCTTGATATGGGTCTTTTATATCCATTTAAGCAGTTAGAATGTGGGAGGGGACCGCTAAATTGTATTTGTGCTGTCTGCGTCTCGATGGCTGTCAATGATGTACGGTGTCTGTGATAGTAACAGGGGGTCGAACAGGTGTGTATCCCATGTTTCGCTAATGAACTTAAAACACAGGAGTATAATATGTTATGATATTTGACGGTTAGTCATCTTGCTCAGCCTGGACGGAATTCGGTCTACATCAGCTATTACATAACGCATGAGATTTATGTCCTTCCGTTGCCCCAACAAGATTATATCATGACATATCATGACATATCTGTATACCCGTTTTTCTTCTTGTTTTTCGATTAACGGAAATATAATCTCGTTCACTCCATCAATAGGAGTTGGTGCTTCCCGAACTGGCGAGTGAGATGGAAGAGGTTAAGTCACAGATGAACAAGGCACAGATTGCGGAAACAGTCGAGAAGATGAAGGAGATGCAGGCGTACTTTGCCACCATGGTGGCGCAATTGCAAACCAGTGATTTGTAGCACAAGCGATAAGAGCGGTATAAGGACTGATATGAAGTGGAGTTTTTTGTAATATATGAGTGAAAGAAGGCGATTGAATGAATGCACGCCAAGGTTTCAAAGCAATAAGGCGTTGATGGTTTGTAGAGGTGTGCGAGGCTGGGGAATCGACAGAACTAAGATTTAAAGCATTTAGATAGACAGACACATAGATAAAGTAGTGATAAATAAAGATAGAAACTGATGCAATGGGCTGAATACAAGCTGGATCGATACACTTTAAGCAAGACTCGGTATCTCTCGGCTTGTGCCCTTCTATTACATTGCTTGACGCGATGGCCTCACATGCAGCCTGGTTGAAGGTGTGTACCCACGTGTCAACGCTCACAGGCGCGGAGGCATACCAGCGACAAATGGTGCAAGGGTCGTCCCCCAAATGTCCTAATTGCGATACATTCTATAGATTCGTAAAAATTCTAGAGAATCAAGACTGATGTGGATGATGCGTGTAGAGGTACATCGGCTTGCATTCTGGTGCGTTCTGCCGCATATCGGCCGCATAACTGCACAAATCACGCCTATATAGTCGCCACACCTCACAACGGGCCTTGTGCCCTGCCCTGCCTCGTCAGTCAGAGTAGGGGATGTGTGATTCGCAGCGAGATGAGGACTTCGTTCGCAGCGATAGTATGAATGATATCAACAACCACACCACTTCATACGTTAGCGTACCCTTGTGACGGAGGAAATCGCAATAGCTTTAGAATGTAACGCGAAGCGTTGAGCCCTTTGGAACGGCTAGCGCTTTCGTAGATGGTATGTAGATGGCGTGTGTGAAGATTAGGCTACCACGGTGCTGTTTGAAGATGAAAATTGTGTACTTTGGCTGCACTCTATATCCTATTCAGGCACCAAGCGTGCCTATGACTGCCATGCATGTTCACATGACCCGACACGCTTCAATTACGTCGTATATGCTTAAACCTTTGGGTATTAGGCTGCGTTTGAAATATATTTCATGCTCCTCTATATATATGGTTAGCTCTTACTCCGTTTATTTTCGCCCCCTCGCTTAAGTAGTTTCTACCACTGCGAATAACACAGATTGAATTACAAACCACAACTCACAGTATGCACATCTGCAAGTCAAGAATGGCACCTGCTCAGATACACACACACTTCTCCATCGACGTTTCCGATAAGAAGTGATTATGTGGACATCGCATACTATCTTAGTATGGAGGGCTGTAGGATGACCTGCGAACGCTTCCCATATCGCGGCTTAACTAATAAACTCGAGTGATGTGTACATATAGCCAATAATCAAGTACAGACATTGGCGTAGCACACACTGCCTGCCTTCTACTAGGTCCTCGCACTTTCCCACCACATTTAAAGCTCCTCCTTGCCAGCCGCAGGCACCACCGGCTCGCTGGTACCGGTAAGGGCGCTCAAGATATTGTACTTCTGCGTGAACATATCCAGCTTATCGGCCTTGGCCTTGCCGTCCGCAATCATCTTGGTGAGACGAGCCTTCTCCTTCTCAATGTAGGCCGACCCCTTCTCCTTGATCTTGTTAAAGATCTTGGCGTACAGCTGAGCGGCGGGTTCTGCGTGGTCCTTAGCAGACTGCGCGACCTTCTCCACAAGCTCAGAGATGCTGTCTCCCGCGTTGTATGACTGTGTGTGTGCGCGTTCGTGGGTTGCAAATGAGAACGCAGGGACGATCAAGACTATAGAACACACGAGTGATATCATTTGAGGTAGAGTCGATTGGTTTCCTAGACTCAATATTTTTCCGAGGCGTATGTGCTACCAATAGAAAAAACGATCAATCGCTTTTCAAGAGTATGGTTGTGTCACTGATTTGTAGAATAATCGCGTTGATCGATTCATCAAACGCCAATCTTATTATTTGTAAACTCGGCAATCAGTCATCCAGGACTACGTGTACATTTGCTATCAAATCCACAACACATCACCCGACACTTCCCCGGTTGCTGCGAAAAGGTGCACCAGACACGTGTGTACGCATCTACAACAACATACGCCCCAATCCCTCACTCACCCCAACAAAGGAGTTGAACTCTTCAATGATTCCAGCGGTGGCACCCAATTTGCCGTCAATGGTGCGGTCTACCCCACACTTCTCATTCATAAACTTCACAAACGAGTCTGCGTCACGGCCGGTTGAGTAGTCCTCAGGCTCAGTTGTGCCTGCGCCGAAAAACTTGAGCGCGGGGAAGCCCTGCGGTGGTGTGGAGTGTGAATGTACACTACAGGGTAAGCACTAAGGGAGTGGGACTAGCATTGTATTGTGTACCACAGTGGGCTGTCATTGGGCAGAGAGTTGGTGTAGGTAGTGAGAAGCGAGCTGAGTTACAGTCACATGTGCGTAAGTGGACAAAAAGATATCTCAGAAAGTATCGGGATATGCGTGGCATGCGTACAGAAGAACACACTTCTTGCAGACCCGCACAGACAGGCGATGGTATGTACATCTAGGCTTCTCTTCTACAAGCAACACTTCTGAAGTGTGCCCTTTCCATCGGTCTTCTACACACATTGGCACACGTTTGTTGCGTCCACCCAGTGTATTGCGGGGGACGCATTGAACATGATATTAAGACCATACATTCCTAAACCAAACAGACTGGCCGTATATACTTCCAGATTTCTCTCTATAGAGATAGACGTCTTACCGTGACTTCGTAGCGGCTTCCAATGGACTTGTGGGTGGACGCATCGATCGCCGCAATCACACAGTTGCCCTCATTCCGGTACGCCTTGGCCACTTTCTCATAGACCGGGGCTAGATTCTTACAGTGACCACACCATGGGGCATCTGATTGGGTATATATATACACCATTAAAAAGTTAATCATATTCCTGGTCGATTGTTGATTTGTACTGATGAGCTGACCTGTTGTTAGTGGATATGTATCACTGGTGTTCGCAGGGGTGGTATGCGAATGAGGTGAGGACAAGAGGGTTGTTCTGCTATACTCACCAGTTACAGATTCAGAAATGCATGCATGCGAGCATATAAACTCACATTCAACTCTGTATGTGTCCAGATATTTTTGATATAGTCAAATGAAGAATTGGACACGCTCTTCACAGACGAGTGTGTCTGTACATTTTAATTCGCACAAACGTGCGTATGATGTACGTATAGAGACGTAGTCCGGATAGTCAGGCAGATACACATTTGTTCGTATAGTTGATCGCTACGTGGACAGAGCCGTCCCCAAATTCCCATAATCGTATATCAACACACCAAGACAGAACTATAGTAAAATTCTGAGTACTCACGGACACCATAGACAAATACAGGAATACATCATACACACAAATAAAATTCCGGTGTGTGCGTACACGTGTAGTTGTCTGTCCAGAATCGTGCTGCGATGCCTACGAGGATTCAATAACATATATAAAATTCGAAAGAAGGGTTTATATGCATACAAACCACACACATACAAACCACTACATATATCAGATTGATAATATCTTCCTGTATCCCTCCATTGATAAATGCATATGTTTGGACTGAAAGTATACATATATGATGGACCCACAAATGCGTTTGCTAACTTGTTACGTTCAGCCTCTTTATGTGGGCAAACACAATTTGCATACGCATCTACAAACGATATATCATTGCTGCGCCTAGGCTACTTACAGAATTCAACCAGGACGTTCTTGGTTGAGTCCAGAGCTACTCCGTCAAAGCTATCCTCGTCAAGCTCAACCACAGACTTGGGCGCTTTCTTGATGAATATGTTGGTGCCAAATTCGTCGTTCAAGAACTTCACCACACCGTCTACATCACGTGGACCGTTGTATGGCTCAGCCTCTGTTGTGCAGGCAAAGGAAAATAAGAGGTCGCTCAAGTCAGAAAGTAACCCAACATCACGAGTGCTTTCCGACCAAGCATGCTACGAATATGTGCAATCGCCCAATTAATACCGGTACAGCTTCGAAACAGTACAGGTTCCACCCAACATAGAACATTAAACGCTTTTTGAACAGGTGACACCTGTCCTATAATTCAATTGCACAGCAAGATAAGTACAAACAACTGAACCTTCAAAATAACACATAAGACCTCATACATTATCTAAGTAGAGTTGGCAATATGTATATTTATAGTATATACATATTCACGGAAAGGTACACGCGCAGCCCCCTAGAAGTATACATTAGAGATACTGCTTACCTGTAGACCCAGCCTTGAACATCTTGATAGTGGGGAATCCGGTGACATCGTACTTGATGCCAAAATCCCTGTGCTCGTCGGCATCAACCAGCGCTAGCCCAACCTTGTCATCCTGGCCAGTTGCTGCGATAGCAACTCCAACCTCAGACCAAACAGGCTTGAGCGTCTTACAGTGACCTTCAGTGCATCGATTTAGTAAAAAACATTTTAGTATTATGTCAAACGTAGAAGGCTAGACTGTCAGATTGAGAGGACTATGTAATCCGGCGAATTGAGACATGGTGTAAAGCTTCAGCATTTTCCGGATGGATTGCGGAGTAACAAAGTACGGCTCTACGCGACTCAACATGGTCTTTAGGTGCCCGTCGAGAACGAGATCGAGATCAAGTTCGACATACAAGTAGAGACAGATGAATATAGCAATATAGATAGATACGTACCACACCATGGAGCCACGAACGCTACCACCCAATTCTTTGTGTGAGTGCCGTCGATTGTCTGTTGATAGAGTAAAGAACTTCACATTAGTGTTCAGCACAGTCCGCTATTTAATCAAGAGGGCTGCAGATTTAGTTTTAGCAAGGAGTTTCATCGTATTGAATTATGATCGGATCGACTAGTTCTTATTCTGAATATCCACACAAGCCTATTTCAGACAGCCACGTTCGACAAAGTTTTGCCAGCACACAATAGTAGGAAGCCGTGAGCGTGAATTAACCTTACCGCATCAAACTCTTCGGGAGAAAAGTCGGTGACTCCATCAAGACCAAAGACTTCGGCGTGTGAAGATAAAATTAGGGACAGGATAAGACACAGGGCAAGCTTTAATGATAGCATTGTGTTTATTGTAGCAGCTAAAGTTAACTCACACTCTGTAGTGGTGTACTGGTCTACTCACCGCATATCGAGTCCTTTATATAATATTTAGCTGGGGTACGGCAGTACAGTATGTACATAGTTCGTGAATTTTCCATAGACACTTTTCACACCACTGAGACAGACACTGACATTTTGACAGTTTGACTGTTGACAACACCAGTCTTTGACTTTTGACAGCACCAGTCCACTGTTTCCATAACAAAATGCATTTTAGTTTTTTGTTTGTTTAAAACAAATACATTTTAAGATTACGTAAGGCTGCCTGCATTAGGACTACCATTTAAAATTCCTGCAATACAACTGCTTTATAAGCCTGCCTTTCTTATGACTGACGCTTGCGCATGCCTAGTCCATATGCTAGCAAAAACTGTTGCAAAAGCCTTCTTTTATACTGCTATTTACATATTCACTAGTAGAAGGCCTTCGCTGCAATCTGCTCTCATGTTTCTATTTACAGTCAAACCTCCTTTTTGGTCCATTTTGTATACTGGGACTCGAAACATTTGCAGTTGTACCAGAATACTGCTGTGTGAATTTTTTTGTGGCTTGCTATACTCTCAAGAGAGAAGTGGATTAGTATGTGTTTTTATAATAAACTATAAATGAAATACAGTATGATGTATATAATAATAGCAGTGATACTCGCATGTTTGGTTCGAGCGTTCAATGCATGTATTCTGTGGTGTTGTTTCGTGTGCGGGATATAGTAATCAGGGGTATTGCCTACTAAGTTATAAATGTTCTTACCGCCAACAACTGAGCCAAAGGATACGCCATCAATTAGACCACGAAATAGATCAAAGTCGATGCTTTTATGCTTTAATAATAAAAGAAGTATTTGATATGCGCGTATGTACGAATGTACCAGTGTATGTACCTTTCTCTCTTTAGCGAGAGCAATGCCCCGAACTCAACTTGCCTTATTTTTGTCTACCTTTTATTTTGTTCAAAGTTTGGCCTGAAACAGACCCAGGACAAAAAATGAGGGTGTATCAGCTCATTTTTTGAAAAAACTTCAAATCAAATCAAATATGTATCGAGCTAAAAAAAGTGATGAAGTCATATTGAGCGTGTAAATATCTGGATGTATTATTACAACGCAGACTATATTTATGCATATTTTATGATATATTTATATTATA